GTGGAGGCTGCTTGGGGTGGCAAAAACCCTGGAGCCAGCCCTGCCTGTAGTTATTATTATCTGCATTGTGACAGTGCCTATGTGCCCCAGTCATGGACCAGAACCCCACTGTGCTAGAAGTTGTACAAACACAGAGCAAAAAGACAATCCCTGCACTCCAAAATTTACAATCTAATCTTCCTTCCAAGATAGTGCCAATTGAATTTTGCCTTTCATTGGGACGACCAAGTGCACTGGCATATTCAAGTGCTGTCTTCACTGCCATTTTTCCTGTCCTGCTGCAAAGTCACCAGAGGGCAAAGGGAGGGGGCATGACATTTTAAAAGGTAAAATTTAGGAGGGACATCAGGAAGATTTCCTGGTAGTCAGATTTATTACGCTGCAGAGAAGTTTTCAAAAGGAAGGAGTGGAAGCTCCATCACTTGAGGAGTCATTTAAAACCAAACTGGACAAGATAATAAATAGAGAATAATCCTGCATTTCAGGAAGATCAACTGGATGATCCAATATGACTCTCCCATCTCCAACTTTTATTGTCCTATGACTAACACCTACCATGAGTTACCTTAAATTTTCACTGAGCTATAACAGGACATACAACAGAGATGATGCACCTGTTACCAGGGAAAATGGGCTCTTGTATACTACTGAAACTAAGCCATGGAAGTAATTTAGAAGGTGGCCTCAAATAAAGCCACAAAACAACGTGATGGTGGACGTTACATGGAATCCCTGCGGGCAAAGAAACTCTCAGTAGCCTACAGAGGAAAAACAATTTTACTTACTATAATAAACTCCTTCACTTCTGCAAGATCACTTTTGATATTCTTTGAATATGAAGAAAATTCTGTAAAATCTGTGGAATGAAAACTGAAATTAAGCTCTTCCTTTCAACGTTAAGTTATATTTCATTAACTAGGAACGGTGACATTACCTCAGTGACGGGTTTCATTTTTACTATTAGAAAAACCATAATAAAAGTATTCTCTACTACTAAATAATAGAGACCGTCAGGTTTCCAGTTTAATATATTGCTGCTTGTCTAATAAAAAAGATGAGCATAAAGATAAGGATGACAAGAAAGTAATAAAAGTGAGCGTCTAACAAAAGAAAACTTACTCGTGCCAAATCTGATAACATTCACTCTCTGTCCAAAACAAGACATTTGTAGAACATGGAGAGCAATCTGCTTTGCTTGTTGCAGTGTTGAACCCTCCATGGAATTGGAGCAATCTAGACAAATAATAATTTCTCCGGACAGTTGGATTCCTTTAAACCTTGTTTCAAACTTTGGTTGAAATACAAGCATGCATGCCTGAAGAAAGAAGAGTTTGATAATCAACACAATGGATCATTGTTATTTATATAGTGCCAAAAGGGTGCTAAACATTTTACAAAGATCACTATGTGTATCGAGGTTTTCAAAAGGTCACCCATTATTGTGGTATCGTGAGCATAATAAAGCCAAATGTCTAGGGCAGTTGTTTTCAACCTGTGGTCCGTGGACCCCGGAGGGTCTGCAGGTGGTCTAGTATTTCCAAAGGAGTCCGCACCTCCATGTGAAAATTTTTAGGGGTCCACAAATTAAAAATGGTTGAAAATCACTGGTCTAAAGGTTAGCAATTAGGTTTTTTGTTTGTTTTTGTTAAATCTTGATGAGAGTAGCTCTCCCTGTCCTGTGTCCCTAGCTTATCCCTCGTGGGTGAGAAACTCAGTGGGAAGTTTGCAAGTGTTTTCTGTTCCCATCTATTTTACTTTTCTGCAATCAGAATGGAGTTGTTTCTCAGAAATAAGAAACAGGCTTATTTTTTAAAATCATCAACACCATCATCACTTCATGCAAAGTCCTAGAATTTTAAAAATAAATTTATTTCAAAAGTACAATGTTTTTCCTGAAGAAAACAGGAGAACAAGTGTGCACTGTATTGCTTTGCACTTGTGATTGGTTAAAAAGTTCAAAAACCTGCATTCTCTAAGCTTATAGAGTGGAAATACAGAAAAGAAACCCATGAATTCAATACAAGTTTATTACAGTAGGTAGCTACTTTGTTATAGAAAAGATTGTATGTATTGTTTTAAAATTTTCTCACATAGTGGAATCCCTCCCTCCAGTATGATCATGGGTTATCATCTATGGTGTGGTGAGATGAGCGTATTCCATCCTCAGCTGAACCATGATACACTGATGCTAGGACTTGAGACAGGCTACAGCTGTGGCCTATTAGGTATCCGAAAGGTAAAACCACCAGCTTTGTCTTATGAACAGAGAGACTATAAAAAGCCCGTGTACAGAGATTCTGAGGTCAAGGCTTTAATTTCAGAGACCCGCCTAGCTGATGCCGCCACCACCACCAGGAACGCAGCCTTCCATGACAGGTGGGAAAGGGAGCAGGAACCCAGAGGCTCAAAGGGTGTGCCGGTGAGCCTACAGAGGACCAAGTTAAGATCCCACTGTTGGACAGGAGTCCGTACCTGCGGGAAGAGTCTCTTGAGCCCTCTCAAGAATCTGACCGTCATGTCATGGGAAAACACCGTCTGTTCTTGGATTGTCGGGTGAAAAGTGGAAACGGCCGCTAGATGCCCTCTAATGGAAGAGTGTGCCAGACCCTGGTGCCTCAAATGGAGCAGGTAGTCCAGGATAGCTTGTATGAAAGAATGCGAGGGAGAGATGCCATGCTCGGATGCCCAGCGGGAAAACCTCGTCCTACTCCCCAGGAAGACCTGTTGAACTCCTTCCAGACAGGTCTGTTCCTCTGGATTCAGCCATGCAGCATCCACGCCGAGAGGTGGAGGGACTCGAGATTGGGGTGGAGGAGCTGACCGTGGTCCTGTCACAGCAGGTCCGGGAGGTTGGGCAGGGGCAGGGAGTGGCCACTGACAAGTTCAAATCGTGCCGATCCAATGTTGGCCACGCTGGGGTGATCACAACAACCTGAGCTTTGTCTCTCTTGATCTTTGCCAGAACCCTGCTGATGAGTGGAATTGGAGGGAATGTATACATCAGACTCCATGACCACGACAGGCATCGGGGAGGGGGTCCTTGCTTAGACCTTGCAGAGAGCAAAATCGGTGGCATTTCCTGTTCTGTCTGGTAGCGAACGGGTCCACTTGGGGAGTTCCCCACCTTTGGAAGATCATGCAGGCTACCTCTGGATGGAGTGACCACTTGTGGTGAGAGGAGAAATCCCCACAGAGCTGGTCCGCCAGCGTATTCTTGACACCGGGAAGGTGACAAGCTTCCAGGTGGATTTAGTGGCTGATGCAGAAGTCCCATAGATGGAGCACCTCCTGACAGAGAGCCGATGAGCGCGCTCCCCCTTGCCTGTTGATGTAGAACACCGAGGCTGTGTTGTCCATCAGGACTTGTACCACCTTGCCAGACAGGTGGGGCAGGAAGACTCCGAATCCCAGACAGACTGCTCAGAGCTCTGTGACATTTATGTGCAACTTCGCCTCCTCTGGGGACCACATCCCCAGTGTCTGGAGGTTGATGAGATGCTCACCCCAGCTGAGGTCCGAGGCGTCCAACACCAACTCGATAGAGTGATGCGGACTGTCGAACAGAACTCCTTTCAGGACTGTCCTGTGGTCGGTCCACCATCGCAGTGAGGTAAGTATTGCCTGGGGAATGGTAACGATCTTTTCCAGGGACTGGGAATAGACCGTCCACAGTCATGGTTGCAGGAGCTGCATTTGGAGCCTGGCATGGTGGACTACCTAAGTGCACGCTGCCATGTGACCCAGGAGGCGCTGACAGACCCTGGCTGTAATCAGAGGGAATGCGGAGACTTCTGCGATGAGGTCCATCAACGTGTGGGACCTTTCCAGTGGCAGGAATACCCTGGTGCAGGTCGAGTCAAAGATTGCTTTGATTAATTCTATCCTCTGCACCGGCACTAACATCAACTTTTTGTTGTTTACCAGTAGCCCAGAGAGCGGCACGTGGCCTGAAGCACCGCAACATCCCTTTGGACTTGACACCTGGAGCTGCCCTGGATGAGCCAGTCATCGAGGTACAGGTAGATCTGAAAACCCCGGCACCTGAGGCAAGCTGCTACCACCGACATACACATGGTAAACATTCTCGGTGCTGTTGCCAGGCTGAACAGGAGGACCGCAAACTAGTAGTAGTGGGGGCCCACCGTAAACCAGAGGAAGCATCTGTCTCCTTGAAAGATTGCTATGTGGAAGTATGCATCCTTCAAGTCGAGGGCGGCATACCAGTTGCCCGGATCCAGAGAAGGGATAATAGAAGCCAGGGGAGCATGCAGAACTTTAACTTCTTTAGGTACTTGTTGAGGTCTGGGAGGTCCAGGAAGGGCCGTAGACTGCCCTTGGCCATTGGGATTAAAAAGTACCAGAAATAGAACCCCTTGTTCCTGTACTCAAGAGGAACTTCTTCCACTGAACCCAGCTGTAGTAACCCCTTTACCTCCTGTGCAAGGAGATTCTCATGAGAGGGGTCCCTGAAGAGGGATGGGGAAGGCAAGTGGGAAGGTGGGGGTAGAAAGGAACTGGAGGATATAACCCTGTTCCACTGTGCTGAGGACCCATCGGTCCAGGCAGGGAGGAAGAGGGAAAGGCAGTTGGAGTACACTGGGAAAGATGGATCTGGGGAATAGTCTGATAGGTGGCCCTCTCAAAACGACCGTTTGGCCCCCTGCTTATTACAGGTCAAGCCCCCTGGGCAGAGGGTGGAGACAGGTGGCTCGGGCGTCGCTTGTAGCTCTTGGCTTGTTTATGGGGCTGGTCCTGCGAGGTTGACTCCCGTGGCCCTGCAGCTGCTGTGGTTTGAACCACTTACATGTTGGGGCTGGGACATAGAGACTCAGGGTTTTCAGGGTGGTGTGGGAGTCCTTGAGGCCATGCAATTTGCTGTCTGTTTACTCCTCAAATAGGGATGAGCCATCAAAGGGCAGGTCCTGCACTGACTGCTGAGCCTCGGTGGACAACCCAGAGAGGAGCAGCCAAGAGGCTCACTGCATGGAGATAGCGGAAGCCCTGGTGCGGGCAGCAGCATCTGATGCTGCCTGGAGGGCTGCCCTGGTCGCGGTCGTGCCCTCATTGGGGATCGCTTGGAACTCCTTCTTGGAAGCCTTGGGGAGTGACCTTTCGAACTTGGCCATGACTTGCCACATATTGAAGTCATATCAGCCAAGGAGGGCTTGGTGGTTGGCCACTCTCAGCTGAAGATTGGAAGACAAATAAACCTTACTTCCAAAAAGATCCAGCTTCCTTAAGTCTTTATTTTTGGCGGTGGCCTCAGGTTGTCCTTGCTTCTCCTTGTGGTTAACCACCTCAACCACAAGGGAATTGGGGGCAGGGTGGAAGTATAAGTACTCATGCCCTTTGGTTGGCACAAAGTACTTGTGTTCGGCCCTTTTAGAGTTAGGGGCCAGGGAAAAGGAGGTCCGCCACATGGCATTAGTGATCTTAGAAACTCCTTAATGAAGGGGTGGAGCCACGCTGGCAGGAGCTGCGGAGCAGAGGACGTCAAACAGGGAGTCCGAGGGCTCTTCCAATTCCTCTGCCTGAAGCCCCAGGTTAGAAGTGACCCTCTTCAAAAGTTCCTGGTGTGCCTTGGCGTCATGCTGAGGAACTGGGCGAGGGGGCCCCGTGATAGCCTCATCTGGCGATGATTAGGATGATGCCTGTGCCATGGGAATCTCCACATCCATTGGTGGTCCAGCAGCTTGCTCCCCTGCGTCCTCCTGGACCTGTGGGGTCTTACCCCCAACGTCTCCTGGGAAGGCTGGGTGAACCCCCACGGGTTCCACGGGTACCATTGTGCCGGGCACTCCACTTGGGGCCATGGGACAGGTTTTGGTGCTGATAATATAGTCGGCACCATTGGTACCGGGGCTTGTCCCACAGTCAGGGAACCTCACTCTGAGCTGGAGCTACCCGTGGAGTCATCGGGCCCGGGTGACCAGGATCAGGCTAAGCAGTGACTCTTGTCTGACTGGTGCCAGTTGCTGCGTCCCAAAGCCGACCTGTCCAAGTGAGACTGTCTTGGTCGGGCACTCGGGGACCGACGGCGTTCAGTGGATCTGCGTCAGATATCTGGCAATCCACGCCTCATGCCTGTACCGGTACCGGGATGTTGAATGGGACTGGGAGCTACTACGAGCCAGTTGCCGGGAGGATTGTCCTGAGTAGGGTGACCTTCCTGTTGGAGATGGGTGATGACGCTCTCTGGTGCCCATATCGGTCCCGGGATCAGTACTGAGCCCTTGAAGATGGTCAGGGCCAGTCCTGGAGTTCTTGCCAGGTGGTGCATGCCTCAGAGGATCTGTGCCAATCTACCGTTGAGGTACGCTTTGAGTCCCTCGATTGGTGCCCTGGTGTGGGGACCAAAGAGGGCTCCGCTGAGTCTGCCTCTCCTGTCCTGAGGCGTGTGAGGCGTGATGGCTGTAGGCGGGAGAACGCTGGTGACACATCCCTCTCGATGGGAAACGGTACTGCTGAGGCAGGGACACACACATATATCCCAACGCGGGTTTTCCCCGAGATCGGGGTACTGCTGGAGCTGGTGAGGGCGGCACTGGGAGCGTCAGGATCTCCTGAGCTGCTTGAAGGGCTTCAGGCGTTGATGGCACCTGAAACTGGCTGCAGCCTGCACAGCTATCTGGAGTTGCAGGCAAGGCATGGGATGGGCTGCACCGCTCGACTTGAACTGGGGCCTGACTTCCCGAGGGGGCGTTGAGCTGCCTGGCACGGGTGTTGGCTCGCCCCCAGCCCTCTCCTTTCCCTTGCAAGAGGTAGGAGATCTTCCCCTCACAGTCTTTTCCAGCTTCTTGACTGGAGCTGTGGAGGGAGACTGGTGCCGGGTTGTGGACGGCACCGGCAAGCAGTGCGCACAGAAGCCACGGTGCTCCGTGCGGAGTCGGGCCGCTGCTCCAGTGCTGGGTGAGTGCCGACTCCATTAGGAGCACTCTTAGATGGATACCATGCTCCTTCTTTGTCCTAGGTTTGAAGGACTTGCAGATATGGCTCTTGTCACTTATGTGCCCCTCGCCTAAGCACCTTAGGCAGCTGGTATGGGGATCACTGATGGGCATAGGCTGTTTACAGTGAGCACAGGGCTTAAAGCCTAGGGACCAGGGCATGCCCCGACCCCCAGCTGGGTCCTGTTTGGGACTAACAGAGAGTTTGAGAACTACTACTAAGAGTAACTAAGAAAACAACTAACGATGTATAACTATTTTACAGGATTTCAAAGTTCACAAGAACTGAGAAGGAATCAATGCTAGCCAAAGCAACAGACGTTCCAGCACCATCACTGGCGGCAAGAAGGAACTGAGGGTAGGTGGAGCTGGTGGCACCCATTATACTGCGCCATGCTAGTGCCACTCAGAGGGCACCAGATACTGTATCCCCCACGGATACTGCTGAGGGAAAAAATTTATGGCACCGGTGCGTGTGGCGAGCACACACACCTAATATGGAATGGACATGAGCAAGCACTCAAAGAAGAACCTTATATTTTGGTTCACCTTTCATCTCTGGTTGAACCACTGTAGCATTTTCCTCCTCTTAAAATGGAATATTCAGCAGATAAATAGCAAATACCACACACAAGTGTAAGAGATTAGACAGTGTCAATCTTAAACATTTTTTGACAACTCTCTCTTAATTTGGAGTCAAACATTTTAAAATGCATCTTTTAGCTTTTCTTTCTTTGTGTGCTTCAAACTTTTATAACTAAAATCTGTTTCTATATGTGGTATTAGTAAAATACTTTGTTTTTAAATGCTTTTGATAAACCAGAATTTCAGATATCGTTCTTATGGATGCATTAATATTTTAATTTCCAAACTTTCTATTGTGCAGGTCAAATCCCTTAAAATAGAACCGATGCAGTTCCTTTAAATGTTTTCTTGAGTGTGTGCAATTATAACCTGTACATTCAGTACACAATGACCCCTTTGTTGCTGATCTCTGCTAGAGCTTTTGTGCCATGATCCTGAATGCCAGCTTTCCCCTGGATGTGACATTTCCAAAGGACATACCGGATGACATCTGACAGTCCTGGAGATGCATTTTTCCCCACATACCTACTACATCAGTCAAATGATGCAGTTAAGGAAGACGCTTTGTTTTAATTGCTACCAATATGTTGTTATTATCCCCCCAAAGTATTATTTGTCCCCAAAAGTATTCTACTTTTCAGCCCACTTATTGAAGCTACATATTTCCAGACTCACCCAACAATTATCGGTTCATTTTAACTCCTGCAAAGAATACAGGAGTACTGATGCAATAGAAACAATGGGAGTTGCAGTGTCAATATGGAGTCACATCCCTCTGAAATATATATGTCTGCACAACTAGCCAGAGAAAAGTGTGCTCAAACAGAAGTAGGGATAATCAGAAATATTAATAATGAATTGTCTGTGATATCATTTGTGCTTAGAAATTTGTTATAGTATTATTTCTGACAATAGGCCCCAGTCCAGCAAATACAGTCCAAAGGGACCACTCCTTTGAATAAATTTAAGTTTGTGTGTGCATGTTTGCAGGACTGGGGCTTATATCAGAAAGATTCTGTGGAAAGTTCAACTAAAATAAAAGATAGAATTATGAAAATTCCATTTCAATGGAACTATGTCCTGATAGGAACTATTACTAATTTGTACTTGTAGGCTGCGAAGATGCGAATACAATACTTGAATATTTTAGTTCCCTTCTCACTCCTCAAGATATTTTGGGTGAAATCCTGGCCCCACTGAAGTCAATGGGAGTTTTCTCATTGCTTTTAAAGGGGCCAGCATTTCACCCCTCATCTTGCAGTACTTTTTTCCCACTGAACTTGGCAAATATGGCTGCTTTATGTTCTGTGCACTGTGAAATATATAACTTTCTTCAGATTTAAATCTACGTAGAAATCTTTTCTTTATATAATTCTAAAGACCAACAGGAAAATGCTTCAAATTAACAGTTAAGGAGATCATTTGTTGCTATTGTGCACTGTATATAAGAAAACTTAGTTATTGAAAAAATTTCTATGTACCTGCTTTATAATGTTTTAAAGTGTACTTTAAAGTTAAAGACCAAGGATGGAGCACTTGCTAAATAAAATATGAAAGCAAACTGAAGGGAAAGGGTCACATAGACCAATAAGATGAATGACTGTACAGACTGAATTTGTTAAATTGATCAAAAAGACATTACCGCAAGTAAGTCTGGTACAAAGTGTATATTCATGACAATTACACAGAAATACTGTCCCATAATCTTTTTTTCTTTTTAACATTGATGGCTTATATTTCTTTAAAGCTTTTCAAAGTACAAAATTAACCATATCAAGCCAAATTCTGCTCTGACTTACTCTTCACTAAATTCAATAGGATTTATATGAGTGATACGTCCTGGCAGAATTTAGTCAATCCATTATTTGATAACGTATAGTAGAAGTAGCAGTTGTACCTCACTCTCTTTGTTTGGATGCTTCTCTACCCACATTCTGGGTAGATATACTTGAGAAATCCAGATTTCTAGAGCAAAGCCACAGATGTCCAAGGAACTATTGTCCACAGTCCTGATTACGGCTTTGCAGTCTGTTTTCTAGAGAGTAAAAAGCAGACATTTATCAGTTTCTGCCAAAAAAGCATTCAATTGTACAAAACTGCATGCTTTTAAGAAAAACTCAGGCTTGAAGATGTAACATTAGGTATGAGATGTCCCAAAGTTTTTTTTTTTACCATTAAGATGATGGTTTTCATTTAAAAATATATATTTTTCTTTAGAGTGACATTAAATGTTCTAAATGTATTTTAAGATTAAAAGACTTCCATTGAAGTGGCTCTAAAAAGTGCACATGAAATTTTTTTTTCATTTGATATAAGGAAACGGAATTACCAGAGTCCTATATAAACATCGTATGCAATTTATTTTAAAAATATAAAAGGGTCCTTTTAAAATAGAAGACATAAGCTCTAAAACAGAAAAACAGTTGCAAGATTTACTTACCTTTATTTTAAGTGTGTGCGTCCAACTATGAATGCGTTCAATGCTGTATGGCATTTCAATAGACATGGCCACACAGAATCCACTAAATAAAGAAAAAACAATTGACACACAAGGCAGTTTTGGAGAAGAGGATATTTGGCATGTATGCCATGCTTCCTCCATCAGGAACACATCAGTCTATGTTCCCTATCCTTCACAGCTCTTAGGGTAAAGGCAATAAGCAGTGCACTACTTGTAGACTCATAGACTTCAAGGTCAGAAGGGACCATCATGATCATCTAGTTGGACCTCCTTGCTTTCTTCTGCCCCATGCTTCCCTTGCAAAAGTTTCTATCCCCAAGACACTCCAAACAGTGTACATGCTGATTCACTAAGGATATACATAGATACATGGACAGAAGAGGCCATGAGATCATCTAGTCTGAACTCTGGTATAAAATAGATCATAGAATTTTACCTAATTACCCCTGTAATGAGCCCAGTAATTTGTGTATGACTAGAGAGTACCTTCCTGAAAAACCATCCAGTCTTGACTTGAATACATCAAGAGATGGAGAATCCCCCATTTCCTTTGGTAGATTAGCCATAGGAACAATCACCCTCACTGTTAAAAAAATTGTGCCTTATTTCTAATTTGAATTTGTCTAGCTTTAATTTCCAGCCATTGGTTCTTTTTATGTCTTTTGCCACTAGATTAAAAAGCCCTTTGGTACCTGGTATTTTCTGACCATGAAGGTACTTACACACCACGATCAAGTCACCACTTGCTCATGTATTTGATATGCTAAACATACTGTGCTTTTTAAGTCTCTCACAATATGGCATTTTTTCTAACGCTCAAATCATTTTTGTGACTTTTCTCTATACCCTCCCAGTTTTTTCCAACATCCTTTAAAAAATATGAACACCATAGGTGGGTTGCCAGTAGATGCTCAGCACTCACCATTTTTGCCCTGTGGGTGCTCCAGCCCCTGTGCCTATGGATTAGCCCTTTTTGTCGCAACATTGTGTGCATGCATGTACATGGATGTTATGTAGTTTCCAACACTGAAAATTCAGTTCGTGGACTAGCATAAGTGCCCATTAAAGCTCTTACTGCTTTTACTAGTAGAATAGCTCATGAATAGGAGCAAGTGGATATCTGCAGAGGCATTGCATGAAGTAGAACTATAATTATCAATTTCTCAAGAAGTATTAAGTTATCAGAAAAAAATTCACAATTCAATATTAAAAAAATATTAAAGATGCTAATGAAAAGAAAAAGCTAACAATCAGTTCAATTTTAAAAAGTACACTTTCAGGTAGTGCAGGCCCAAGGGATTAGGTTTTGTGATGCAAAGTTTTTATAAAATCTGGTATTGAGAGAAATGTTTTCAGGAAACAAACAATCCAACATATTCAATGAAGTGCAGTGGAGATGGAGTTTGCCTAAAAATTATTGCTGTGTAGTGTTTGCAACCTAAATACAGCAGTTTTGAATCAAAAGTAAAAAGTCTTTTCGTCATCCAACCTGAACGAAATGCCATAAACCCCACATAAATAGTGAAAAATAAATTTTACACGCTGCTTCACATTTAAGAATCTAAGGTGTTAGTAACAAAAATAAGGAAACTTTAAAATAATTTTTATATCAAATACCTTATTAAATGTTACTTACCCCTTTTTTGTTCCTATTTGTTTAACACAAACCTTCTTTACTGTATCCTATACAAAATAAAAAACGGTAAATATATCATTGTTATGAAATATGCAGATCTTAGTGCCACTCTTGGTTTTATTAGAAAAGCAACTGTAGCACAGCACCCAGCAGTTTTCTCAGCTTCTTTCACTTTCAGAGGTCAACTCTTTCCTCAATGTGCGAATATAACATATGGGAATGATACATACATATGGGAAGAAGAATAAGCTTGATGATATTTAAAGAGGGAAAATATACTAAGTCATTTGTCCCTTCTTGCAAACTGTTCTCTGTGGGCAAACCTCTATGTCCACATGGAACATCACTGAAGTCAATAGGGTGCAGGAGGCCACCTACATAAAGTAGCCAGCCTATAGGGACCTTAATTACTAACACTGCTAAATTTACTCATGTTCTAAATCAGTGGTTCTCAACCTTTTCCATCCTCGGACCCCTTTCCCCATGCTAGGCCTTCATCCCATGTAGCTAGGGCCACTTTTCATTTAATAATATGGGCAGGCTGGTCACAATACCAAGTTGCGAACCCTGTCTTAGAGCTATTGTTTTGAGCAGATTCAGGCAGACATCACTATGTTGATTTATTTGTGTTTTGGTTCACATTTTTGGAGGCTCTTGCTTTTAGCCATGAGGGTTAGAATCAATTTTAAATGAAATGGTAAGAAACATGTAAAAAGGTAAGAAAGGGAGGATGGTTGCAACTCCCCTCAATCTTGTTGTGGAATCACCCCTTGGAGCACTTGTGCTCCAAACCAAGAAGATGCTACTTTAACGTTATATTTTAAATGCACAAACCTGTGTGTTTTCATTTAAGGCTTTGTCTTGTTGCCAAGGAGCCACAGCAGCAGGCATTTGAAAAGTAATACAGCCATTCTGAAAACTAAGCTCAGTGATGTAGGTGACTTTGATAAGAACTGTAGTTTTAGGTGGTAAGTTTCCAACACTTACAGTAAAAACATCCTAGAAAAGAGACGCTTGCTTTAATCTGCATATTTAAACTATATATTTTCCAAAGCAATAAATCATTTGTTTTGTCATGTACAGAAAACAAATGCTAGTTTTCTATATTTCTTCAGAGAAGCGGCTTGAAGAAAACGAATTATGGTGATAAAGGGCAAGGAGTTATGCTGTTTTAACAATTTACTAAAAATTCCTGTCTGGACACAACTCATCAGTAGTAACTATGCATAAATCAATATTTTACAGAGAGAGTTCAAATTGTTTTTTAAAAGAGGTTTTTATGGAGAGTTAGCAAAATCTAGTTTCTGAAGGATTGTCAGCAGATATTTTTGACTAATTTCCTGAAATGATCAAATGTGCAGCCTAAATAATTTCCATTATTTAAAAACAACCAAAACAAAAAATCCTTCCCATTAAAGACATGATTCTGCAACGATTCCAATGGAACTACCCATATGTGTAAAGTGAAGTACATGTGTATTTGTGGGGTTGGGGATCAATTCACTTGCTTTGTTTGGTATCTGACTTCAACAACTAATATACAATGTGACCAATCTGGGATTTCTAAAATGCACAGTAAACCATGACATTCAACATACTGGGGCATCCTGGTCCATCAAGTAAGCTCCATCACCTCGACTGATTGCTTCTCTATATTCCTTATGTGCTTGTGCCTTTTCTTTAACCTGCAAAAGATTGCTCCAAAATCATTAAATGAACTATTTTTATATGGAACACAGTTAACTACCTTGTCTCAATTAACCAACAGTCATTTAGTGGGACACCATCAACTTGAAATCTAGTTAAGTGACAATGGTATAAAATCAGAGTGAGAGTAGTATTAACACTAATGTTGTGGTCTTCGCTCATTAATGCTTTGAAATTTTCGGGTTGAAAGCACTATAGAAGAGCGAAATATTAAATCATCTTACCTTTCCAACAATATGTTTCCCATTGATGAAAGCCTCAAATCCACATACAGCCGCTGTGCCATCCAAAGGAAAGACATATTTTGCCTCAATGGAATTATCATTCTGATTGGTGTATGTCTGAAACACTACTATCTGAAATAGAGAAATGGATCTCTTTTATAATCCTATTAAGTGAAAAAAATATCATGATAAAAAAAGAACAGGTAATGAGTATATCTTCTCACAGGTCATTCTGCACAAGTGGTTTTGGTTTAAATTCACTATTTTAAATTTAACAGCATAAATGTGATATTATGTTTTACACTACAAAATATGTTGCTAGGAGGCAGAGTGCAACTTGGTTTATCTTTCTGAAGACCTATTTGTACACGAATACCCCAAACACATATACATATAGTGATTATAACAAATCTACCGGTGCTTGGGGGAATGGACAGTTCAGGAAACTGGTAATGGAATACAGACACTCTCCGGGTTACGCAAACCCGACTTATGCATATCTGCACTTACAGAAAAAGTTCCGTAAATCCCGTAAGCTTTTTTGGGGGGGGGAAGAAGGGGGGCGGCGTAATTGTCGGGTATACGTTCCCGACTTATGCAAAATTTGACTTACGCAAGACGTTCTGAAACAGAACGCCTTGCGTAAGTTGGAGAGCATCGGTATGGAGTTTTTCATCTCTAGGTCACCAATTCAATTCTCCTCCAAGTGAAGAGTAAATAAAAATCATTTCCATCTGATGGCTATATGAAAATCCTAACTTTACAAATATCACCAATCTAGTGTCTACAGGATAGGGGTCTACACCACAGAAACCACCACTGCAAATGTGCTGGTAGCCTCAAGTGTGACTAAAGGACTGAGTAGGCAGGAAGGCAGATAGTGCAACCAGGTTAAGCTTTTCTGACATGGCTACTTGGGAAACCTGTGCTGTCTCTCCAGGAACAATATCTGTTCTGTAAATAGAGAATTTCAGTCTTCAATGCCAGAGGTTCCAGCTGAATTTCTGTCCACACCTGTTCCTCTCTGCACTCCCTGTCTATGTCCCCAGAAAGTCCTGAGACCTTCTCATCAATCACTGCCTGGCATATCCAAGATGGCCATCAGTCCCGAGGAGGAAGCTGGATGGGGAAATCTCTGCGAATGTGGGGCCTTTTTGCAGTTCCTTGTCTGTTCATGCATCTGGGCAGTGTTCCTCTGGACAGTGTCCACTGACTCCTTAGACTTCTCGGAGCAGTGGACATGGTCTAGGGTTCTCTGCTGAGTGTACCCCCTTGGATCCATTGTTTTGATCCTGGACCTCCATCCTCTTTTTTTCATTTATTGTCCCAGATAATCTGTTGATTTCTGGGTTTGGGGCCACTCCCTCATCCATGAGGGTTGGCCTTTCATTATTTTGGTAAGCTCAACCTACCAGTCCTAGTTATCAAATAGGCAGGCAAGAAAGCCCCTTAAAAAAAAAAAAACCAAGCATATTCCACTGCAGCAACTTTCTTCCTGGCAATGACTTAACCATACATAGGCAGAAAAATTATTCTGAAATATGGAATTACACAAATTCACTGATCTTTTCATTGCCCAAAGAACTTACAAAAGCAATTTGTCTGCTTACCTTTAAAAATTAAAAATACTTTGAATTAATGTCAGGACCTGTAAGAGACTGACCTTCATTTAGAGATCTATTTTTCTAAAATTGACTCAACAGCACATAACAATTTGAATTAATTCTCAGTAGTCAGTTGCTGAAAAGTTGAGCTAACAGTAAACAGTGCACTGTACCTGTGCTATGAAGTCTATTATCCTCCCCTTGATATGAATATCTTCAAGAGGGACTGGGTTTCCAGATGTGTCCTGAAGACCAGTTTTTACATGGTTTAAAAGATTTACACTTGGTAATGCATAGTCTAAATATAAAAAATTGAAGAAAGGTTAGTGTTTTGGTTTGGGTTTTTGGACGGTGGTGGTGGGGTAATAGCCAATCCCACAGACCAATGGCAATTTGGCCCATGTTTACAACTGTAATTCACCATATATGGATTAAAAATAGTGTCTGTTACGAATTCCCACAATAGTATTGTTCTATTGCTGTGATAATGGCTGGCTGAGGCCATAAGTTGATGACAGGTTTTTCATAAGACCTTTGTTTAGCCTTTAGGGAGTAAAATGTGAATTCTTTAAAGAGCGTCTGATGACTTATGCAAGAGTACTTTCTGCTAGGCCTCTTGAAAGGCACTCTGTCAGGAGGAGAAAACCAGCCTCAATATTTATTCCCAGAGGAAATCTGTTAAACAGATGCTTCCAAGATACCAATATTAGTCAAGAATGCGTGGTGACAGCTGCAAATCAATCCAAAAGAATTTTTTAATTATATTAAAAATGTATTTGATCAGTTTTATTCAAGAGCTATTGATTAATAGCTAGAGCATTTATGATGTAAATACAATTATAAACAAGAAATATTTCCCACCTTCGGGTTGTAAATGACAATGTGAGGTCGCTGGCCGATCTTGCTCTAATTCTGTCTCGATTCCAGGCTGAAACTGCTTTACTTGGTCTCCAGCAAGGCAAAACTTAACAATGTATCTCATTTTAACCTGACAGGTTTTGTATACAACAAATTCATCATCCTATTGCAAGGAAAGAGAATTATTTTACAAGTATAATAAAAGCTACAGGTATTCCTACAAAGACTGTAAACCGATTTAAGAGCTGATCTAAAGAGACATCTCAACTGAGATATGCAATATGACTGTATGGTTTTAATACTAATGCTTTGCACTCTTCAAAGAACTCCACCTCTGTCCTCTTCTCATCCTAGACCTTCCTACATTGCCCAAACTTCACTACTGACTGCTCCTTTCATCTCCATTTCTCACTCACAAATTTATGACTTTTTTCATGCCATCTTCAACTCGGCAGAAAGCCTCACAATTAAGTTATCCAGGTGCCCAACCTCTCTCTCAAAAAAAATAAAAATAAAAATAAAAATAAAATAAATCCTTAAAACACAACTGTTCCTCAAAATAATTCCAAATATAATTATCACTTTTCCTTCTCTGGCTGCCTAGACAGCAACTGTGCTTATTTGTTTGCATAGTATTGCACCTATTCCTACCTTTACAGTTTAAACAATTTGGAGCAGGGATTATATTTAATTTTACACATTAATAGGACAGTGGAACCCTCTTTCATTGTTGTTTTCTATATTCCATATGTGACAGACTGACAATATCCAGAACAAACCTTATGGAATTAAAATAAGTTTTACAGAATTAAATTAAACCTTATTGGAGTATCTATGGGGTACATTATATTAAAATGTAATTGTGTATGTGGTATTGTGGAATTGTATGTACCTTCTTTAACAGAGAAGGAGAATGCTACTGAACTTTCTCAGTTATCAGCCTTTGAAGTCCCCCTGGGGACATATGCATACATTAGTCCAAACTGGACTCTCCTGAGACCCACAAAGCAAAGACTTTTGGATAAAAAGCCTAAGTTTAAAATGACTCAGGGCCTTCTTCCTGATACACCAAACAGGCAGGACCCCATTCCATGGAGTGCACCAATCCTCATGGGAACACTGGAAGAATTTAGCCTAGTGAGACCTCAAAAGACTGTGTGCTTGTTCTGAACTGAAACTGATGTATTTGTGACTACAAAAAAACTCTTGGGTGGCATAATGCCTGGTAAGCTTATTAGCATGCATGTAGGTTCTTTTATTGTTTTAAATATGTTTTCTCCAAAATATTTTTTCCTTAAGAATAAAGTAGGCCTGGCTGGAAAGAACTGTGTGGTAAGTTATATCTGTAGCTGTAACGCTATTATTAAGGATACAATTTAGCCACGGAGGTCATGGATTCCAAGACTTTATCAAACCTCCATGATGTCGGCTTCAGCTGTCAGTGGCGGGGGCGGAGCTGGGGCTGTTCCTCCCCAACCCATGGCTTCAGGTCTGTGTGCCTCCCTCCCAGCTGTGGCAGGAGCCAGAGCAGTGCATTTCCCTGCCCCACAGCTTCAGCCGGGGCCGAAGCCTGAGCCACCGCTGTGTGCCCCATCCCTCAGCTTTGGCCAGAGCTGAAGTCAAGACTGCGCACTCCTCCCCATGGCTGCAGCGGGGGCTGAAGCTGGGGCTGTGCCCTACTCCCTCACGGCGGTGGGACTGTCAGTCCCCCCCGTGGGGCACCTGCTGTCATTCCTTCCCTTCACTCAGCCCTCTCTACCCTGTTATTTTTAGTAAAAGTCATGGACAGGCCATAGCTCCAGTGAATTTTTGTTTATTGCCTGCAACCTGTGTGTGACTTTTACTAAAAATAACCATGACAAAATCTTAACCTTAACTGTTATCCATCTCTGAAGAAAAAGCAAGAAGGTCTGTCTAGGCAGACTGACTGTGCTGCGAATTACACAGAGAAGGCCAAGGAGCTGTCCAGCCTGGAAGTGCATGTCTCCACCCAAGAGTGGCAAGATCTGGAAGTCTGAGTGTCAGGTCCTCTTGCTGAACCTCTGAGGGGAAATACAGGTGCAGATGCCCTGAACTGTGACACCATACACAAAAAAATTTCTGTGTGAGTGAGCATGCCTCTAAATAACTGCTTAATGCCAGGAGTCACAATGCTCACCAGAAGGTATGGGAAAGGAGAGCAGCAGAAGGTTTCGGGACTAAGGCACAGCAGCATCTTCCATGCATGCTGCAAACATAACCCAAGAGGGAGATGAGACATGAGACCCTGACAGCAGGGCAGGACATCTCGGCAGGGCAGGGGGCGAGGCAGATCAGGAGTCTTCCTCCCAAGTCCTGAGCAGCATGGCCAGTGGTAACAGGGCAGCAAAACAGCCCAAACACTGCAACCCACAACTGCTAAAAAATCCCCGCTGCTGTCAGTTATAAATAGCCCAATTGGGCTGCAAAAACCGCATACTTGGCAACCTCTCTACCCTCAGTGCAGAGCAACTTTAGCAAGACTACTCAGCTCCTCTTTACTCCTTGCTGGGAGCTACTGTAGCAAGACTGGGAACCAGGATCCTCCTTGCCCTTTCCCTCTACTATGTGAAAGTGATAATTATAGGATGCAGGGGAAATTTCCTTGAAATGTAGCATTTTGCACCTCTTGGATAGATAAGAATTGGTATATTCCAAGGGAAATAGCACAATGCAAATAATTTATAGTGGAATGAAAGTTCACTGTAAGTGAAGCAATGCTTTACTAAAGGGATGTGTCTATATTAGGAAAAGAAGTTGTGATTCACTGCTGCAACCCTGGTGGAATATGGTTTTCAGCTAGTATAGACAGCCTATGTTCAACATCCATTACACAAATCCTGGTTGACCCTTCCATGGCTCCAAAGCCTATTGGGTATGTGGTTTATGTGACATGAAATTCTGCTGAAATGTAGCGAAGTAGTTCAGGATTTTCACCCCACTTTGCTATAGAACCAAGTTCAATATAAAATCTCTCTCAGCTATTTATAGGAGAATTCCACTGTAATATAAAATAATATTAATACTTTTCATCTAAATAGTGTCCTTCATGCCACAGTCCAAAGGCACTATACAAATGTTTAAAAATCCTGTGATGCAGGTATTATATGCACTTCACAGATGGGGAAATTGAGGTAAAAGTGACTTGCCCATTGCCACATAGTAATTCAGTGGCAGAACCTGGAATAGAACCTAGGTGCTCAGTCTCCTTCTGTCCTCTTATCTAACACTGGCACAATAAATCCAAGCGTTTTAAACAACCTCAGTGCCTTTTTTTTGGTTGGATCTGATTTCAATACCTCAAAATCTGAATAGATGTTTCCTCTTTTACGGACTCCATGCACGCTGTCATATCCTGCTGGCGCATTAGTCAATGACAAATCTTTTTTATACAAATCCAAGCAGGTTCCAAGTGCCACATTACACACAGCCAACAGTCGAGTTCCATCCATTTCACTTGGTGGAGAATACTTAGTGCTTGTACTATAGTTAAAGAAAAATCACACACACAGACACATACAGTTTATATTAACATGCATTTCTATTTTAAGTTTCAATAGAAAGTAGAAAAATGGAAAGGAATAACTTTCAACATTGAAGTTTTCTTAAAATTCCTCTAAAACATTACAAAAAGAAACTTAAATTTCTTTAAGAGTCAAAAGAACCCAATATTATAACTAAGTATTTCAAACCTGATAGAATCACTGAAATAAATGCCACTCCCCAGCTTCCCAATATCAGTTCTTTCCATGCCATGATCTTCAACCACTATCTTTGGTAAAAGGAGACCTCTAGAAAAGAAATAGCATCAGTTAATGAAGGTAGAAGGATCCTGACATACAGTCCCGTGATTAATACATACTGAGTAAATAGGGTGCCACTGATGAACCAGACAAAATACAGTTTACAGAAACCATGGAAAGGGAGTTCTGGAAAATGTTCAGTAAAACAGAGACATTACTGAGTTGGTCACAATAGGGAAAATCCCTGGGTGAGGTTCATCAAGAGGATATTACAGTAAATACTCCTTATTTGTCTAGTTTTAGCACATAAAAACTGCATGTTACAAAGTGAAAACAAAATAGTGATCACTGGCAAACATCCACATTAACACAAAACCAGCGCTTAATATTTGTTATATAAAATAGTGCTACTTTTCTATAACCTATACTATGTGAACACCATATACCTATCACAGATACATACATTATCTAAGCAAAACAAGGGTGGGCAAAAAAGGTAGAGTGTCCAGGAGTGAAGGGCAGTTTGATCCTTAACTTTAATCTTCTTTTATGAAAGTCGGTATTGTCAAACAAAGCAGCTTTAAACTTTTGATGAGATTACAAATTTGGTTGCTATTGGTAACTGCATAGATTTAATATACTTAGACTTTTGTAAGGCTAGTACTGCATGACATTCTTACAAAAAAATTAGCACTATATAATATAGTTAAAGCACATCTTAAATAGATTAAGAGCTGGCTAACTGACAGAACTCAAAAAGCAGTTGTCAACGGGGAATCATCATCAAATGGGAATGTTTCTAGTTGGGTTCCTCGTGGATTGTCACTAGGCCCGATGCTGTTCAATATTTTAAATCAAGTGATCTGGAAATAAATATACCGTCACTGTTGATCAAATTTGAGGAGGACATAAAGTTTGGCAGAGTAGTAAATAAGGATAAAGACAAAGTGAGGGCAGTCATACAGAGTGATCCGGATCAGTTGGTAGGCCAGGCCCATTCAAACAAAATACATTTAAATACAACCAAATGCAAGGTCGTACATCTAGGAACAAGAAACACAGGCAATATCTACAAAATGGGGGCTGGTATCCTCAAAGCTGAGACTCTGAAAAAGATTTTGAGGTCACAGTGGGTAAGAAACTCAACATGAGCTCCCAGTGTGACACTGTGGCAAAAAGGGATAACACTGTTCTTGGACGTATAAACAGAGAAGCTCTAAGATTATTTTACCATTGTTTACAGCACTGGCGAGACTGATAGCAGAATACTGCATACAGTTCTGGTTCCACATTTTTTAAAGGATGTTGAAAATTTGAAGCAGGCACAGAGAAGGGCCACAAAAATCATTTGAGGTCTGGAGAAAATGTCTTGCAGCGAGAAACTTAAAGACCTTAATAGGTCACTTGATTACAGTTTATAAGTACCCTGACAGGAAGAAAATACCTGTACTGAGGGGTTCTTTAATCTTGAGGAGAGAGGTATAACAAGAACCAATGGCCGGAAGCTGAAGTCAAACAAATTCAAATTAGACATAGGCAAATATTTTTGAAGGTGATAAACCTTTGGACTAAACTAACAAAGGAAGTAGTAGATTCTCTATCTGTTGATTTCTTCAAATCAAGACTGGATGGTATGTTTTAGTAAAAGAAATACGATATTGGGCTCAATGCAGGAGTTATCAGCTGACTTGGTTTGCAAGGCTCATGCTATGGGGCTGTTTAACAGTGGTCTAAATATTCAGGCCCAGGGTGGAGCTCAGGCTCTGGGACACTCCCTCTTCGTGGGGTCCCAGAGCCTGAACGACTACACCACAGTTAAACAGCCTCAAAACCCAAGCCCTGCAAGCCTGAGTCAGCTGACACAGACCAGCTGTGGGTCTTTAACTGCAGTGTAGACATACCCTTAGTGGCCTGTGATATACAGGAAGTTCAACCAGACAACCTAATTGTCCCATATGGCCTTAGAATCTATGAATTCTGTTAAGATTATGACAGAAACTAACTTTATTCAAGAACAGATTTGGCTATAGAAATAATACTAACATTGTATTATTTATACAGTATCATAGGTGTGCATGGCCCTTTACAAGCAAATAAAGTTAACAGATTCTTGTCCTCAGGACCTGCAATCAAAGTAGATGATCACATGAACACTCATTAATGAACTCAGTACTTACTACTGTGAGTAGTCGCATAGAATTTGTCAGTACTACTAGCTACTATTGGCTGCAAATGTTTGACCCTTAATTAGATCCAATGCAAGGGATGAAAATAACCAGTGTGTGTGGTAAGATATGGGTCACAACAGAAGAAGACAATGATGTGAGGGGAGGGATAGCTCAGTGCTTTGAGCATTGGCCTGCTAAACCCAGGGTTGTGAGCTCAATCCTTGAGGGGGCATCTTAAGGATCTGGGGCAAAATCAGTACTTAGTCCTGCTAGTGAAGGCAGGGGGCTGGACTCGATGACCTTTCAAGGTCCCTTCCAGTTCTAGGAGATAGGACATCTCCATTTTTTTTTAAATGTGTGCTTAATATTACATACACACATATATTTTAAAAAATAACATCAAAAAATGGAGGATGGAAGTCAGCAATGGAAGACTTGCTAGAAGAAAGGATATATTATTAGGATATATTATTCACATTTATTACAGTAAAAAGCAACAGAGAGCCTTGTGGCACCTTTAAGACTAACAGATGTATTGGAGCATAAGCTTTTGTGGTGAATGGGACATGTGTCTGATGAAGTGGGCATTCACCCACAAAAGCTTATGCTCCAATACATCTGTTAGTCTTAAAGGTGCCACAAGACTCTCTAAAAAAAGAAGAACAGGAGTACTTGTGGCACCTTAGAGACTAACAAATTGCTTTTTACAGATCCAGACTAACACGGCTACCCCTCTGATACTTGACACATTTATTACTCTTTCCACTCTCTCTCTATTTTATTAGGGTA